GTCAGTAATAACATAAATTCGTACTCTCTCCCTCCCCCCCCCCCCCCCCCTCCCCCCATTCCATCAAAGATTGTGTATAACTTACCAATCTCGCGTAATTTATGGAATCTTCCATAAACAAATTTGTTTCAGTACTTACCTCCAGGCCCTAATTAGTGCCGAAACCACCAGACAATGGAGGTATGCCGCCCTAGTGGACACAGGGAAGGTAGAACCCATAAATCGTCCAACAAAACATAGCCTCTTAAAGGTCGTGGTCAGTGCAACTGCATTTGAACCAAACAAAGGCTCTTTTCCTGTTCCTGTTGAACGGTGATGGCGGAAAAGAGACAGGGGAAATCGGTTTTGGTATACCTATTTCATCTGTAAATAGAGCAATGTTGAAAGCGGTCGCAGAAAATACAGACAAGGCTGGGTTATTCTATCATCAGAGTCTTACATTCTCTCGAAGTAACATTCCTTAAACCCAAATTGACCCATGAATTGTTGGAAATATTCAACAAATTTCTTACTTTCTCAGAGTTAAAAACAAAACAAGATATATACATATATATATGGGGTGTGCGATAGACTTACCTCCACGTGGTGCACCCTGGGCAACGTATACTCATACGGCAAAAGGTCTATTAACCGGCAGCTGACTTCTGATTTCAAACTACCATCACCCCACTGTATGTCATATTACACAGCTTCCACAGTACTCATCTCACCTTTTCTCTGCCTTTGTGTCTGTCTGTCTCCTCTACATCTGTGAATCACTCTTCTGTTCCCCCTCCTGAATTGTTCTCACTTTGATTTTCCTCCCTCTGCGAAGCCCAAAGTCAGCTAAATGGCTAGTGATAACTATCAAAACGCCTGCCATTTGAAATAATATATATATATATATAGTTACAACAATTATACTTAATGTTGGAGTTGCCCCAATTACACCTGCATCATATGGTATGGAGGGACAAATTTCCTTACAAGAAACATAAAAACACAGGAATTATCTCGGGTGATTTGAGTAAAGGAGAGGGCATCTTTAAATGGGGAGGTGATTTTATCAGCGACCAAAAGGAAACTCTAATATGAAATATGCAACCATTTAGTTGGGGCCGCTTCTCAAGGTTGGTAAATGGCAAATCCAAAAGAGTTTACAAAAATCATACATCGCTGCGTTTGCGAATCAAGTTGATCTGTGGTAGATTTTTCATTAATGTGCAACACGGATAGGTACCGTGATGAATCAATAAGCGCATATCCGCTTGAGACACAATGTGATGGTGAGATAAAAGAGAGAGAGGTGTATCTCTGTCACTTTGACTTTCTTGGAGAGTCTCATGACACTTCTCTGTGATAAAAGCAAAGTACGCGCTTAAGGTGTACACTGCGGTGAAACTGTACTCAATGACAACATTGGTGACTTGATATTACTCCTATCAATTCTATCAATAGTTTGGCGACAGGTAATTAAGAACTTTTCGTGACGAAAACTTAGACATCGAATGGTCCTACTTCCAAGCAGCTAGATTTTTAACTTTTAAGCCATGTCAACTTATATAATTAGATGCACACTTTGATGCTTCCCACCGACCAAAAATTTGTAAAACATCAAATAATATTTGAACTTCCTTAACACGCAAGACAACATACTTTCTATTTCGAAAGTACTTTTTATCGCTCTAACCACGGGAATGGAACACTCAATCAAGGTGCTCTGAATAAATTGAAATTCATCTAACGTACGCACGCCACTAGGTGTCAAATGATGAGGCCTGAACCAAATATTGGGTTGGCAACTAAGTCATTGCCGTTTTTGTTGACGGATTCACTCTATACTTGCTTTTGTTTTGTTAACGTGGCCAGAGCATCTTACCTATATTTTTTTCTAACTGTATGGGCTTCTAGGTTAATTAGTAAAAAATTTTTTGTTTAGTTCTTTAGTTTTGTTTTTATCCCAATTTAAAAATGAAAGAACAGGACGTGCACTTCCGACACATTTTATTGTATTACTTCCGAAAAGGCAAGAACGCATCGCAAGCACAAAAGAAGTTATGTGCCGTATATGGAGATGAAGCCTTAAAAGAAAGGCAGTGTCGAAATTGGTTTGAAAGATTTCGTTCCGGTGATTTTTCACTGAAAAATTCACAACGATCTGGCCGCCCAGTCGAAGTGGATGAAACCCATATCAAGGCCATTATCGATTCAAATCGTCACAGCACAACACGAGATATTGCAGAGAAGCTCAATGTGTCGCATACATGCATTGAAGATAAAAATGAAAAACCCTTGGTTATGTCAAGAAACTTGATTTATGGATCCCTCACCAGTTAAAGGAAATTCATTTGACGCAACGGATTAGCATCTGTGATTCGCCGCTACTGAAACGCAATGAGAATGAGAATGATCCATTTCTGAAGAACCTAGTTACTGGCGACGAAAAGTGGATAGTTTATAACCATGTTACTCGCAAGAGATCATGGGTGAAGCAAGATCAACCAGCCCAAACAGTATGAAAAGCAGAGACTCACCAAAAAAAAGATTATGCTGTCAGTCTGGTGGGATCACAAAGGAATTTTGTATTTTGAACTCATGCCGCAGAACCAAACGATAAATTCAAATGTGTATGTTGAACAACTCGAAAAACTGAAGGATGCAATTGAAGATAGGCGGCGGGCATTATGAAATCGGAAGGGTGTTGTTTTCCATCATGATAACGCAAGGCCCCACACATCTTTGGTTACTCGGCAAAAATTATTGGAACTGGGTTGGGATGTTTTGTTTTGTTTTGTCACACCCACCATATAGCCCTGACCTTCGGATTACCATTTGTTTCGTTCCATGCAAAACTCTTAAAATGGTAAAATTTTTAACAACGCGGATGATGTCGGATCACACCTAATTCAGTTTTTTAATAGCAAGACCAGACATTTTACGAACGGGGAATTTTTACTCTGCCAGAACGATGGAAAAAGGTCATCGACAAGAACGGCCAATATCTAATTGAATAAAGTTATATTTTTAAACAAAAATTCCGAATTTGCCTTCTTATTTGAAATCGGCAATGACTTAGTTGCCAACCTAATAGATTAATAAAGTGAACTCTCTCTCTCCCTCCCTCTCTCTGTGAAAAAAATATTGACAAAAATTTGTCCTGGAAGTTAAACAAAAACCACCGATGTCTCTCTCATGGGACTTAATTAGGCGCTTTTGTTATTCATCTTATTAATTTGCTCCTCCTAATTAGAACGTAGAAAGGTTTTCAACTCTATTGTGAGCATTGCTTCTACTCTGCCAGTCCGTGCACGGGAAAGTAGTATCAAATTGAAGAAATCGAAAGTTCCAGAAAATGGGAAAACTCAGAAAAATATTGATCCAAATAGAGCTATTTAAAGGTAATTGGTATCTATTTTACAGGGCCTCCAGTGACCTGACCAAAAGACACACACATACACACACAAAGCACTTGGCCTCCAAACCTGGACTCATTTCTGCCACTCAACAAGCAAGATTCTGCACGACAAATACACGTCAAGAGTTGGTACCTAAATATACTTCCACAGGAGTTCTCCTAATTAACTATACCACAGGTAATGATACCACACACATACTATCTAATACATTGAAAAACAAGACAGTCGATGGGCATTTACAATTTTGCAAGCATACTGTATGATAGCTAACAACCAGGCATTTATTAACATTCTAAAGTACGACTTCACTAGACTAGCAGCATTATGGAGTCCAAGTAGTGGTGGAATTGAAATAAAGCATCACTTTAATAAGATAGATTTAAATCGTGTTGGTTATAACCGCAAACCCCTCAAAGTGCACCCGATAGGCGTTGACTTCACCTACGATCACGCGATTCACTACACAATCGGATTGTTGCACTTCAATTTCACAACCGTAAGGCTATAAACCAATTCCTAGTTCAGAATCCTAGCGGTTAGTAGACCAATGGCAGCGTGTAATTAGCCCCTGGAGGGGACCAGACACCCACCTGTGGTAGCAATAGGAGGAAATTAAAACAGCACAAACCAACACCCTACGCGTCATCTTTATTTTCCGCTTATAGGCGCACAGAGATTCTCCACCATTAGGCACTTAATACATTGACTCAAGGTGGTAATTAATTGCCGTACCGCTTACTTCTCTCAAGTTCCCGACAAAAACACGTTGCATAATAGCCCACTTAAACCAACTCCAACTTGTGTATTTGTCAACTAAATCTAATGCCAACAAGTGTGGAAAAAATTTGGCACTCTTCCCATTTACAATCCCATGTGATATAATAGTTGTCAAAACTACCACTACTCCTTCCATAAATCACTTCGTAAAAAGCAAACCATCACTACAAGAAGACACGGAGAGAAAAGCGCAAGCAATCAAAGAACTACAGTAAAATAAGTGGGTGGTGGTCACCGAAACGGGCTTAATAATAATAACGGTAATAGTGGTGGGCGGTAAGAAGGAGACGAGGGGGAGGGGGAGAGAGAGAAAGAAGGAAGATGGCAAGATTGTGAGATGGGAGAAGGGGTCAAGTCAATACAAGGCGCTGCTTTTGACTTCTTCTGTTATCTCAACTTAGTTGACCCTCTTATCATATGCTCGTCTTAACAACAATTCAACGAGGAAATCATTAGGAAGAAAGAGGGGTGGTGTGCGTGTTACATATTGAATATCATTAATTAGTCGAGGGACGATGGGTGGGGGGGGGGCGGGGAACAGTCGAATCACCGAGTAGAGGGGGGAGGGAGAGGGAAAACGCGCTCATTGACATAGACAAAAAACAAAACAAACACCACAAGCAATGAGATAACGAGAGAGAGAGAGAGAGCGAGCGGGAAGATAGAAATATATAAGTTAATTCAATAAGTGGGAAAGGCTGGGAAGTAAGACTTGGTCTTTGCGAGAGTAGATGTGCAGATAAAGACGATGATCATTTGTACAGAAAAAGAGAAACAGAGCAAGTAAGCTTCGCCGATGAATTTCACGCTTTGCACCGCGATTCTTCTTCAACTTGAGATGGCTGGAGAATGACACCGAGGTCGACTGGGTACAAGCACGGGGAATCCCAAAGCACATCCTCCGAGTTGTCCATCAAAAGAAGGAACTAAGGGAAAGACTAGTCTTTCATCCGCCTCGTTGGTAGTTTTCGAGACCAGAGAGACTCCAGGGTCATCTGAGGAATTGGGGACAATTTGAACTGGAACTGGGATGAGGGAAGATGCGGGAGCTCCTGATGCCATGGCAGTAGCGGCTGCGAGTTCGGAGGCCGATTCAGAGGTTGGAGCAGAGACAAGTAGAAGTGGAAAGCCACCATTTCCGCTGCTCAACTCAAAAGTAAATTTATCACCTGGATTTCCAGTTAGGAGTACAGCTCCACCGAAGTTACTGCCAGTATTGCTGGACAAGGGGAAAAGGGAGTCAAGGGAGTGCTTTCGATTGCGATTAGCTGCGGTGGTGGTGGTGGTGGTATAGCTTTGGAATTGGGAGTAAGGCGTGTCAGCGAGAGTCTGGGGAATTGAACTGTTTCCTGAGGAGGACAAAATAGATCCAAGAACTGGGACATGGCTTATTCGCCGTTGTCGTTCCCGTGTGCTCGTGGGCTATAGAGATCAAGAGAAAAAAATGGGATAAAGCGTACTCTCATCGATAAGCTTTAAACTCGGCTTTCCATTCAGCATCAAGCCAATCTTACTTACATTGCTTACCAATCTACGATGTCAATTCAAATATATGTAAACTAACATGACAAGTGAATTCATTACTGCCAACAACGAGAGATCATGAAAAAAATACCCACATGACATACCTTTTGAATGATACTATAAAAATAATTTCGTTCTCATTTCCAGACAGTCTAGCAAGAATGTTCAATGCTTAGATGTGTTTTTTTTTCAAACGCCAATGTAAAGTGTACTTTTGAAAGAAATATATATCCCTCTCTCGTATTAACGAATTGTTAGCTTCAAGTACCCTCTCAATCGATGCCTCACAGAGGTAACTATGGAAGGGGGTCACCACTTCCTGCTATCTATAAAAAAAGGCGTGTCGGGAGAAGCGGATTACCCTCATGTTAGGAGTTTGTTCTCAAGGCTGTTCTCCCAATGTCTGTTTTCTTGAAATCTTGTCAACGACTTCACAATAATCTACTACTACCCAAACTCACGTTCACTATTAGAGCCGAGTAGAGGAGAAGGATTTCTCTTGGGTCACAAATTTCTTTAATACGCACACCCACACACGCACACATCCCCCTCCAACCGACGATCCTTAATTAGCAAGGCAATGAATTAACTACTAGAGGGAGATATGGTGGTTTTATGGCTCTTAAATGGCGTCATACCCGATTGAGAGCACGCAATGCCACCCCCCCTCCCCCACTGTGAAAGTGGAGGAATCAAATTGACCACGAGATGCGAACCACGTAGAAAGTGTGACAATGGCAGAGAAGAGTGGAGTGTGAGGAAATGAAAGGGCAGCCATGTGTGTGCGGAGGGTGGGGGGGGGGGGGGGGGGGGAGGAGGAGAGGGAAGAGAAGAAGAACCACATGCCCGTGAAAATAGACGCAGGTAGAACAAACGAAAGAGCATATCACATACGAAACGAGATAGATGTGTGGTGTGGTGTGTGTAAATCTACACGATGAAATGCAGATTTGTGAGAACCCAAAGCATGAGCATAAGTTGGAACATCCGAAACTTGTCACTCTTTCTAACAGCTAAGATCTTCGTCTTGAAAAAGAAGTTAGAAAACAGAGAGAGAGGAGGTAGCAAGGCGACTTCCGGAAGTTAGAAATGCGTGGAAATAGAAAGATTAGGCGTTTACTGAACAGAGGTAAGTTCAAAATGTGGAAGTTAAACAAATTGAATAAAGTGAAAGGTAACTAACGAGAAAGAATGCAAACCAAGTACCTCCTCCTCCATGGGGACAGAACGACGATTTAACACGCCGATTAAAATATCCATATGATGTGAAATTTGAAAATTCCACACACACGCACACACACTAACCCCCCTACCTTACTGTTAGAGTTCAGAGTTTATAAATACAGAATGAAGGTGATACTTACGGGGATTTCGGGAATCGTAGGAGAGATCGCGGATCGAACTGAGGTTCGCTCGGTTTTGATTGGAGATGTCCAATCACTAGTACTGGGTAGCATTTGGTCATCGGGAGTAGAAAGAGGTGGCACCCCGGAGCTACTCAGAGCGACGGCGACGGCCGCATTGTAGGAATTAGCTGCTGCCAAAGCATTCTCATCAGGTTCCAATTTGGAGGAAATGAGCGATTGACGAGTAAAAGACTGGAAAAGTGTAAAAACGGAACGTCAAATGAGAAGTAATTTAATTTTATTGTCAATGTGATAAATCTCACAGGCCGTTCCTGCGCGTACACTACACATATGGATCATCCTTCTGAATGAAACCTTAACAGAAGGAGTTTCGTATGCCAATAATTATATACTCATTACCTAATTTTAGACGTAGTAAATTGCTCATCCATTTTCTAAATTAGGGCCAAATACCAGAAAAAAGCGAGTTAATTTTGCCAATTAAGTCAAAAATGACAAGGAGTAAGCTTCTCCTTAAAACGAGTAAACACTCTGTTTAGGGTATAGAATAAAAAAAAGCCAATAATAAAGGAGAGGTGTAGTACGAGAGCCTAACGAAGTGCCTTGCTGCATTTATCCAGCAGACTCAAGCATCACTCCTCTATTGCATTGACCGCCACTATTGTGTCTCATTGCAAGCGACATTCAACCAGGCAAAACAAAGCAAGACAAGTAGCAATTGCTCGGTTATTTTCTCAATTACAATAGAAAAGACTCCACATACCGCTGACTGGACTCTACTGGCGATCAGTCTAGACAGGCATTGAGACAAAGAGGCGCATACACACACACACACAGCGGCAGCAGCAGTTATAAAATGCCACTGCACAAGCCATTATAGAGGCCTTGAAAAGTGTCTCTCGCCTGAGACAAACAGTCATACGAGTTAATTGTTCAACCATAGCCCAAATCAAATTCAATATATGTATATATATACATATATATGCCAGCGATCTACAATTTTAGCCTTTTAAGGCGAAACCCACTCACTGCTTGATGGTGTAGGCCAAGAGATAAGGCGCACAACCAAGTTGGCTACACGACGAGCACGTTAGACACGCAGTTAATTCCTCTCTCTCCCTCTCCCTTCCCATTAATTACAAGATACCCACCCCCACCCCCACCCCAACTAATCAGAGCTCCCATCAATACATAAACTAAATTGGGGCAAAAATTGCAAGTTTCTATTAAGCAAAAAAAGACCTGAGAAAAGAGGGTGGCACTCTATCTGCCCACATTATGAACGAAATAATTTACTTCTTTAATAATCGCTAGATTTCATATTCGGTCGTCTAAATGTAGCGCTAGCAATCACATTTCGTATAAAATTTAAATATGTGCGAAAAATTTTTCACAATCTTTTGATCCCGAATTCTTCCCCTTGTTCATAATCCTCCCCCCCCCCCCCAAATTGCTTTAGGAGTTAAGGCTCACCTTAGCATCATTAAAGTTCAGATTCTGAATGTGCTGTTGTTGATGCTGGCGTAATTCAAGAAGAGTCGAGGAGGTATTGAAGACGTTCGCATTCGGTGGAGAAGTACTAGGAGGGGTGGGAATGGCCGGAACCACTGAGGAATGGCGTCGCAGAGCAGCGGTAGCAGCAGCCTGTTGAGCAGCCAGGGCATTGGAGAGGCTGGGAGGTGCTCCAAACACCGAGAATCGTCGACCGGTCTCCGAGTGATGCGTTGGGTGGTACCTCTGAGGTGGAGAGGGAAATTCGCTCTTCCATCGAATTGCCCCACCACCGCCACCGCTGGATGGTGGAGACCGAATTCGACTGCTGCCGCTATTGTTGGAGGATGAGGTGGTTGACGAACTTGCTGCATTGTTGACATCAACCACTAAAGATGAACGACAAGCAGGTGGGGCTGAAGTAAAGAAAGTAGGGGTTACGAGATTGATCCCCATGGATGAAAAACCAGATTTATTATCAGCTCGAGCGGTTATTTATATTGAGCAGTGGAGTAGCTCTAGAATACTTAGCATCGCCTACATCAATTTAAGAGCCGTAATTTTAAGATTCCTCACCAACTTCCCAAAATGAATGCTGGCCTATGCCCCCCCCCCCCAAAAAAAAGGGGGTTTAAGTGAGCAACCAATTTTGAAGTTGAGGGCAGACAGAGGTAATAGGCAGCCGAAAATAGGTGGAAAATGCCACCACATTTGCTTTGATCAGAGGTAGGTTCCGTGGGACTCGGAATTACCTCAGAGATCTATGCGTATGTGATTATCCAATTATAAATGAACAAATTAAATTAAATAAAGGCAGATTTTAATAACCGATAAAACGTATCAACCACCCTGTTCCCTCATACCATAGAGGAGAAAACGAAAGAAGGCAAACTCTTTGGCCAGAGAGGTAAGAATTAATAAAGAATCGGGAAAAAGGTGGCATTGATATTAGAAAACTCCCTCCCCCCTCCTCTCCCACCCCAAGACTAAACGCAAATTACGCTGAAGAAGAAACGACATTATTGATCATCTTGGCAGTAAAAGTAATGAAAAATATGGCTCAAAATTGTCCATTTTTTCCCTTAAATGAATTCTAGAATTGCACACTGCAAACCTTATCACATTAGAGCCATTTGATTTGATTTTCCACACCTACCAAAGCTGTGGACACAAAATTAATTAAACACACACACACAGAAATACGCCAAATCAAGTATTTCGCTGAGCCTTGATGGTTTGCAACAGATAGACACATCAGATACAACTGTGTGAAGTCCCGAAAGCATTCTACAAAATCCGGCAACACAAAAATGAAAACTTATATCTGACTTCCGGGGCCACAACGTAATTAATTTTTATAGGAGTGCCGAGCCAACCTAACTATCAACACACTTATTAAACAGCTAAACCTCTAATTAGCCCCCCAAAAAATGATATTTTTCAATAGAGTGGAGTACTTTTGAAGACATAATTACAATGAAATTACCCAACCGTCACTATTCTCTGCATCGTGTGTGTAGAGAATAAAAAAGCAATACGTATATAATTGACAAACGTGGGAATTATGGCTGTGCATACGGAAAGTACTAGTATCAATAGTTAGGCCTTCAACGCCCGATTTACTTTTCTTGAAAAATGCACCCAACCGCACTCACGCGTGTCTCACAGCAGACTGATATAGCCGATGTGATGGGTTTTGATGGTATATCAGGCGAAAACAAGAGACCTATTGAACATATTTCGAACTCCAATAGCGCCTTCTGTTACGAGTCTAGTACCACTGGGACTTACTTGAAAGAGGATCGTACGATCCCAAGGGGCTAAATCAAAGAACAAAGGCAACAAGGGAACCAATAGCTAGTCATTGCGCCCCCAACTGACTGCGTAGTATTTTGTCTTATCCAGACGCCTAGTCTAGCAACGTGTGCGACGTCAAATCACGCATAGAGAGGCGATATTTCAGTGCAGACATCTATCCCTCACTTATCTATACTTTAATAGTTTCAGAATCAGTGTGTGATGACGCCGTGACTGCATCGGGTGTGTGTGGACTTGCGAAAGTCCATTTAAACCTCTCCGAAAGCAGACGCACAAACACACACGCAAAGGTCCATTTATAATTGGCCCCTTGAATGACTACGTACGTGAACCAATTCAGTGACGTCAAATTCGAGTTTAAATCTACACATCATATAAAGTTATATTACTATACCTGTGAGTACTTAAAATTCGTTAAGGCGATCCGCCTTATCACATTTGGCTTGTATATTAATTGAGTAAAACAAAAGCCACAAGCCTACGTAACCCCCCCCCCCCCCCCTCCTTCTTTACCACTCTGTGAAATAAATGCTCTTCGACACACTTTAGAACAATGAAGGTTTACATTTTGAGAAGAACAAAAGTAGATTGAAATAATAAAAAAAATGAGTAGCAAAGCAAAACACACCAGAAACTTCTAAGCAAAGATAATTAGATCAGAGCAACACAAAGTTAAAGTCTCCTAACAACTTTGCAAAAAAAGTTACAAAAAGGTGCAGACGTAAATTTTTTTGCAAAACGGTGAAATAAACAAAAAAGGCTCCATGGAATACCAGACTTCCAACTAAACTCAACTGAAGGACGATCAATCGAGAAAATAATAATAACAGTGAACTAGCAACAAAAAGAGGTGGAAACAAATATTCCCCCCAATCATGTACGTCATATATATATATATATATATATATATATATACGTCTGCCAGCCTGACAACCACGAGCCAAATGGATTACGCTCAGTAGCAAAAAAATAAAACAGGAAACTCACCTTCATTTCGTGCCGAAAAAGCCGAAGCATTCGGAGATGGACGAAATGAGCTAAAAGCATCAGCGGCATTGGAGAAAGATAAATCTGGGTAAGAGAGTTTCCTCTGTTTAGCCGGAACACCTATAGGATAGGAGA